TCTGACGCACCCCCCTGTAAGCTCCTCCCACCGCCAAACTAAAGTTCGCAAATCACTAGTTCATGTTACCTGGTGACCGTCGTCCACCGGCGATCCCGATCCTTCACGAATCACCGCCTTCATCACCCCTTTCAGCTCCTTCTTCACTTTTTCCTTCCCGCCTTTCTTCTTCGCGCCGCGCTTCCCCCTCCCGCCACTTGCGCTCGCATCCATCGTTCCCTGAGGGTCGAATCAGTAACGCCTGCGACACTCGAATGGCTTCTGTGAGCACGTCACAACACGGGTCAACGTAGTGACAATTGTGGTAGCGACGTTGACACAAGGCGAATCTATTTTCAACCCTAATCGCGACGCGACAATTGTCAGATGGCTTCTGTTAGCACATCAGATTCGACCGTGACTAGGTGAATCTACTCAAAGAATTGACTCAGATTCAGCGGTCTCTGATTCTCACTAGTTCTCAAATGGCGCAACAAAAACTGTAGTGAAGTGCACCCAGAGATTACTCATTACCGCTTTCGAACGCAACAGACCAGGCAATACCGTGAAACTAATCCCCGTGGCCACTGAGCACCCCGTCACCGACGGGAGCAAATCAAGATTTGGCAATGGTTGACGTGACGACAGCCAATGGTTGAGCAGACCGGGCGCGCGCGAAAACTAGGAGCGAAATGAAGCAACGCAGGACGCTGACAGCTCGGGAGTTTCGAGAATTCATGTAGGTGACGTCAGAGTGACCAATCCCAGAACTGCTGGCATCCTCGCTACGGGCAGGTCAGTGAATTCCGTGAAGATTTACACCAACCACAACCTTTGGTCTGCATTGCAAAATCATAAGCCATGGAAATTATGCTTTGCTGTGAGCTTTACACGTCCACTTCGCATTAAGGGACCATGCATGGCAAACAAAAAGCTAGGCAGAACCAACTGGGTGATATTGGTGACAAGGCAGGGCAGGGCTGCTGGCTAGGCTGGCTAAATGGTGCCAGTCACACCCTGCTTCGGCATCATAAACAGCCAGCATCTCATTATCAGATGGAGCCATTTTCAGCTTAGTAGAAGAAGCCGAGCACCTTGCCTCCCACGTTCTTCCGCCTGGCCTCATCGTGGTCCATGATGCCGCTAGACGTGGTGAGCACAATGTAACCAAACTGGTAGCGTGGAAAGAAACCAGAAACACAGGGAAAAAAGGCAACGAGGGCACAAGTAACAAGACGATAATGAAAACGAAAGAAACGACAGGCACAAAAAAGCAATCGGGAACCCATGACATAACACCAATGCTGAGGCTCCCAACCTGTTCCACCGCCAGAAATGCTGCATTCCCATCAATATACGGTTGCAATTCATCACCCCTTCCAGACCCTCTCCATCTGTTATTCACAACCCCTTCCCCTTCCCCTTTCAAAAAGTGAATTACTGCCAGAAAATAAGCAGCTTCTTCAGTTGCCTGTCTTCTATCGCCAAAAGCACGGGAATGACGTGCTGCTTGCACCACGCACTAACCCCCCAAGTAAAAAACTCCTCTTGAGGATAGTCACCCACTCCTGGCGTGAGGGCCACACGCGCTTGTTCATCCCCCCCACCTCCCCTCTCCAACTCTCCCCCCTTCCCCCACAAATCTTTATGCAACCTATGACTTGTTACTCTACCTCCCTCAGTGCAAACCGATGCTTACACTACCGTACAGTGATTACACAGCCCCACTCAAGCTGCACGACCGACCTGACGGGAGGGCAGGAGGCGCTCGGTCCAGTTCTCGATATCGCCTACAGCGATATCGTAACGCGGGCTGATCACGCCGCACTTGTTCAGCCGCCCGTTCAGCTCCACGACAATCTTGCCCGCCCGCCTGTCGTCCACCAGCTCGAACTCGCCGATGTAACCTGGTAACCAGCAGTCGGGGGAAAGGGGATAAAATGCACAATGTTGGTAACAGAAATCATATCTGATAACTATGCCCATTACGAACAAGAGTAGGTTCAAGAGTCATGGGCTTCTGTACACCATCGCCCTATTTCCTTGCCGAGTAAGTACCGAGGTATTCAACTACACCTGCTTTTAAAACGACAAGCCTGATCCTGTTAAAGAAAGCGACGAGGTGTTGGAACCGAGTGCCTGCAGATTGGGAGAATAACGACATGATCGAGGGATCCCGCACGGTTACGTTTGCGCGAGCGTGATAACCTAACGGGACTTACAAATGCTGACTAAGCCTGGCGTGATCAACCTACCCTACCAAAACCAATCCCTGGAATAAGACCTAAAGAGCCTAACGAGCGGCTACTTCGAGGAAAGGAATTAACGAAATTGTCTCCTCGCTGCTGGATGGATGCGCAACGGCCCTGATCGGCTGTCCTTGATTGGATCGGCATAACGGCTAGAACGCCTTAGGGTTTGGCAGAACGGGCTATCGTTTTTCAGGCGCCTCAACAGCCGGCTCGGAAGAACGGACTACCCTGGTTTGTAGGAAGCTACCTCCCACCCAGACAGAGAGCGTTACTACTCTGGAAATATTTTTAAGGAATCTGATTTCCTGCCTTGAGTCCGGCTACTCTGCTAAAGACTCGTCTCTTCCGTCAACCACGCAAGATAGCCGCCACGATGCCTCGCAGAGATGGTCACGACACCCGGGGACGAGGGAGGGACGCCTGATGCTGTCTCGCGGGACGACTGACTACAAGGCCTTCTGAGGCGCCTCAAACGAAGCACATAGGGCATCGCTCCATGCGGAATGAGATGATAACGTCCGGACCTTTGAGTCGACTGAGAAGTCGCTCAAACAGACATCAATGTTGCACAGCAGGTCGTTGCAGGAACGCTAGGTTTGAAGCCATGATGAAGGGAATGGACCGTTAGAAATGTGGGAGACAAGACGGGAGGTGAAACGAGCACGTAGCACGACAATCGCCGCACCTCGACAAGGACATCGAAGGAAAAACGAGCGAGCGCGCACGCACCGTGTCGCTGCATGACGAATTTCAGCAAGGCAGTACGAGCAAGCAAGCACGCACGCACCCAAACGCACAGCCACACGCTCGCATGCAGACGCACGCACAAGAATCTACACACGCACCGTGTCGCTGCATGACAGTGAGGAACTTGATGATGACCTTGGAGCTGGGGCGGATCAGCACCTGCCGCTTCCCGCGCTTCTCTGCGTTGTACATGCTCTTGAGCGCATCATTAAGAACGCTGATTCTGACCATCTTGACTAACTGGCTCCTTGTCTAAGCAAGGCAGGGAAAGGCAGGCGCGGCGCAAATGCGGCTCCTGAGGGACGAGGAAAGGAAGAGCAGGAAAGAGAGAGAGTGAGCGGCGAGGAGGAAATATGAATTAGGGTTTGGGCGGGATTAGCTGCGAGAGGCGAGGAGGAAGATGGGGAGGGGGGTGAAGAAAGAAGGGGGTGGCGCGGGGAGCTTGAGTGGGTGGGGGAGGGGGGAAGTGGGCGGAAGTTGGAAGAAAGAGCCCGCACGCAGTGGAAGAGAAACCACACAGCGCCATCCGACGGTCCTTGTTTGATCCAAACTAGTTTGTACACCCTACTCTTGGAATGATTTGTACTACATGTGGTAAACTATTAGCTCCGTAAATCCCTTCCAAATTCTACACTGTAAAATAAGCAAGCAAGCAATGTTGTCAGACTCAGCTATAAGCTCCATACAATTGGTAACTATCTTACACAGCCTACAGTGTGCCTACCATTTATTACTTATATTATAAATAAACAGCTGTAAATGTAATGCTCCTAAGCAAAACTTGGTCAAGCATCCCCATCAGTAGTAGCATCTGCATCTGTGTCCTCATACTGAGACCTCACCCAACCAACGAAGGCGTTGAGAAACTCCACAAACGTGCACACACCGTTTGAATCCCGATCCATTTCCTCTGAAGAATAAAAGCAACAGAAATTAAAGGAAAACAAAAACACATCCAAATGTGCAATACTGATGAACCGTTGTAGGGAACACACTGGGACTTGGAAAAAAAGGGGGGAAACATGTCGAGAACCAACCAACAAGCAAACACACAACGTTTGAACAAGAACGCACGCATGCACATGGACATGTTGTGAAGCAGCGTGCGTTCCTTAAAGCTCGCGGCCTAAATTGCAGAGCGCGCGGGGCAACCTTACTAACGTTGATGGGAGTGCTGTGCTGAGTGTTGTTTGGGTTGCGAAATGGGGTTACTAGAAAAGCGATGCGATTCGATTGGCCATAAATTTTTTGTCGAATTGGAGTGCTGGAAACACCCAGATGCGAAACATCCTGATTGGTCGAAGCAACCTGACTGCAGAAACTTCAAGTTTCACCACGCTGCAATTTGGGACACTTGGTCCCCTATCCCACAACTCCCCCTGAAGTGTGCAGACTCAGCGAAACAAACACAAGGGCAGCGAAATCATTCCCCCCAACCTCCCAACACCTCCCTCGACTTAGACTTCACCACCCCCACCCTCGAGAGCTCAACCCAGCGCAAGATTACTAATCTTGTGCAATTTGGGTCGCGAGCTTTAAGAGTGTTGGGGCTACTAAAACCCTTTTGAGAATATTCAAAATCAACCAGCAAACAAGAACGTACGCATGCGCATGGAGATGTTGCGAAGCAGAGTACCCTCCTTGAGAGTGTTGTGGCTGCTGAAACCCTTCTCAATCTCTGCCCGCGTGAGCTGCCCATCATGGTCCTCGTCAAAGTAAATAAACGCATCCACTATTATTTGAAAGGCCGCGTTGACGTCTCCTGTGCCAAGGCGAGACTTCTGCTGCTCAGAGGAGATTGGGTGGAAGGGAGGGGAAAGCCAGGAGGGACGGGAAGGGAAAGCCAGGAGGGAAGGCAGGAGACGCTGTCAGATACAAGATAGTGAGATGCTTGAGGCGCCTCAGAGATCGCCGAGTTGATGTCTCCTGTGCTAAGGCGTGGCTTCTGCTTTAAGGAGGAGATTGGGTGGATGGGAGGGAAGATATAGGAGACACTGTCAGGTCAAGGCTGGCGACTTGCGTGCTTGTGTGCACCGTGCATGATAGAGGTAACGCGAGGCAGGAAATAGTGTGAGGTTGGAAATAGAAGGGAGTATAAGGTGAGGTCGTACACTGTATGAAGGAAGCTTGTTGTCGGGTAAAAAAGGTAGGTAGGAGAGACACATACTCACAGATGCACACACCCACCCACCCACATATCGTTATTTTTGAGTCGACTCAAAAGCACATACTCAAAGATGCACATACCCACCCACCCACCCATCCACCCACCCACCCACCCACCCACCCACCCACCCACATATCACCATGATCGCATTGAAGCACACCACAGTAGCCTCCGCCTCCTCCCTAGCAGGGGCTGACCATTCACCAACCCACCCCCACTCACACACACACCTGCTCACTATCAGCCGATTCCAGCAGGAACACAATGCCCAGGCACAGCACAAACGCATTGAAGCACACCACTGTGTCCTCCTCTGTCGGAACAGACTCTGACCCTTCCCCATACGAAGTGTCCAACTCCGTCTGCTCGAAAATGGCCTTCAGCTCCTCTTCGCTCACTGTCACCTGCGATTGGCAGCGAAAAGAGATGAAATTGTGACACGTATACATTGCACTTTCAAGGTGTGTACTCTTTTGGTTGCTGTCACGGTGTCACCTGCCATTCTTAACTTGCCAGGGCCATACATGTAGGCACAGTAACTTGCCAGGCTCATACACAACACAATCTCACACACCACCTCACACACCATGAACACCTAACAGTTCTGACCGTTCTTACAGTTCTGCAAGTTCTGACCGTTCAGACAACTGTGCGAGTTCTGCAGGTTCTGCCTGAACGCACCTGCAGCGGTGCGAGCGCGGCCTTCAGCTCGTCTTTCCATGGACATGCCTTTCCACCCTCGGGTACCGCAGGTGTTTTGAGTGTCTCATATGTGTTTTTTCTTGAATTTCCTCAGCTGTTTTTCTTGAATTTCCTCAGAGGTGTGTTGTAGGTTTGACTCTTCTAATAACGTTCTGCGTAAACGCACCTCCAGCTGAGCGAGAGCGGTCTTCAACTCGTCCATTGACATGCCTTCTTTGCCCTCGGGAACTGCACACGCAATGCAAGGCGGCGAGATAAAGGCGGAGATGACAGTGATGACGGGGGATGACGGGGATGACGGTGATGCGGAAGGTGACGGAAGGTGACAGAAGGTGACGGAAGGTGAATAGGCAACCATTGAACAACGAAGACAACCGCGAGAAGAGGAAGCGATCGCGGAGATTAAATTCCGTAAATCAAGCTAACGAAATAGCGTACGGACGACCAAACACAGTTTCAAAACTGACCGGCCTCATCAGACTCCTACACCTCCCTACATTAAGAGCTCCGACCAAGCGTTGATTCGACGAAACATGACTGCGAAACCACGCGACGCCATGCGAAGCTAAGCGAAGCCGTTTCTATTGAGAGGCGTCATTTGAAGCCAATTTCATTGCAACTGATGCGCGTAATGCGCCTGATGCGCCTGATGCGCCTGATGTGCCTGATGCGCCTGATGCGCTTACCGATTTTGTCGTACACTTCTCGGAGATGCTCGAGAGCCGCGTTGATCCTCGGGAACTTGAGCACGAACGCGTCGAAGTTTTTCGGAACCTTCTTCACCGTCTTATGTCTCGCCGCTAACGCGTCAGTCATCCGCTTCTCCAGCCGTGCCGTCGATCGCGCGGAGTTCGACATGCTGACGTGGCGGCGCGTGTGTTCCGGACAGGGATCGTGGTCGTCGCGTCGCGTAGCGGGGGGTGAATCACACGTGTCGAGCTGTCTGAAGCAATTCTTATAGGATTATAAGAAAGGTTTATCGACCACACGTTCTGGAAAAGCACGAAAACGAAAGGTAATTTATCGTTCAATGCACTTTGATTTTAGTCCCGACTCGACCTCCCCCTGATCAGCCAGTCAGTCACTGCGTGTCAGCAGGCTAGCCAGTCCAGGTCTACCTGGTAATTCCCGTGCAGGGCGATAATGCACGGCCAAAGTCACCTGCTATGCTGTCACCTCGCTAACACAGCAGAGCTGTTTGGCTTTGCACGCTTCGAAGCTCCTCGAAGTAGCACTGCAGCCGCGATGCAGTTCTAGTTTCTAGTCCACGCACAGCTGTTGTGGAGGTCACGATGGGAGCAACTAGCCACTGATAAGAAGCTCGTCGCTCTTCTGTTCGAGTTCGTGTATCTCGAGAATATACCTCCAACAAGAGTTCGATCTGAAAAGGTCAAGTGAGTTTTTGTTCGGTTGAGAGCGTAAAATATGGTTTCTAGGACGGTAAGCTTCACAGAGGTTGAACCGACCGACTGTGGCTGTGGCTTTCACAGGGCAAATTGCTATCGCAAGATACCGTCGTTTCTTTCTGCGTGGAAGGTCTACATGCCGGAACTACTTCAATTTTGTAAGACTGGGAAAGTCGGACGAACCAGATCTGAGTTCTAATTACGGAAAGTTCGGTTCCAGTCTCAGATTCAGCAGAATGGATCTCGCTTTTTGGAAAAGAATGGAGCTCTTACGGAAGTTTAGTCAGGGAATCCACAAATGGTGCACTTCACTTGTCCTTTCCACCTACATAAACTGTAGATAGGTGCGTGGGAGTTTAGAGAGCACGCTCGACGGTGTCAGCATAACGTACTCGTTATTACAATGAGGGCTTGTTCAAGGAAGTCATGCACAGTCGGCCAGTTATTCATGCTGTCATGTATGTGAAACATTATTTCTAGATTAATTCAGCTTGCGGGTTGCGGGTTTCCAACTCCTCCATTCATGTCCGTCCATTGCGGTCTCGTCGTTTTTATCACGGTTCAATCTGGTGAAGCTCAAATTTGACTGCTGTTTGAAGACAGGTTTCTGACAGATTCAACTGCTGGTGTCTCAGGGGTTGCGAGACTTTCTAAGCTGCTAAATCCGTAAGGCGTGAAGGCGCGAGCAATAACACCATTTTGCGCGTTGGTAATGGATATCTAGTCTAGGTTGCTGGTCAGCTCCGTGCGCCAATTCGTGTTCGAGTCGCGTACGCTGGTCATGTTGTAAAGCATGAATCGAAAGTTCGACGACCGACCGCCTGTCGACAACGGGTGTTGACATTATTCTAACCATAATTCAACCAGATTAACTAACCAGTTGGTTAATTCTAATCGGTTTTCACTATGGCCAGCCGGATTCGCACGCTCCAAAGCCGCCAATTGGTCCGATTCAGTCATGTCGCAGTCAGCGCAGTCAACGCAAGTCTCCTGCTGCAATTTATCTCCCTTTGGCTCCTAAGCGCGTCGAGCGCCGTATACGGACACAGAAACGAGCGGGTACACGTGGCGCACAAGCGCCTGAGAGGCTCGGCAGCGTTGGGTGAAGCAGCAGCGTTGGGGTGGCAGGTGGACGCTTCCCGCGTCGTGCAGATCTCCATCCAGCCCCGGTAGGTGGCTCCGCACGGCCCCGGTAGGTGCCTCCGTACGGCCTCGGTAGGTGGCTCCGCACGGCCTCGGTAGGTGGCTCCGTACGGCCTCGGTAGGTTGTCAGTTTGACCCTTCCAGTAATCTATCAAGCCGCAGTGTTGGGGTGGCGTGTTTTGAGTCGACTCAAAACTCGACTCATTACACGCTTTTGAGTCGACTCAAAACTCCATCCAGCCTCGGTAGGTGGCTCCGTACGGCCTCGGTAGGTGGCTCCGTACGGCCTCGGTAGGTTGTCAGTTTGACCCTTCCAGTGATCTATCAAGCCGCAGTGTTGGGGTGGCAGGTTGACCCTGCCAGGGTCGTGCAGACCTCCACGTAACCTCGGTAGGCCTAGGTAGGTCCTTTCCTTTCCCACCGCCTCTAAGTGTAATCGCATCTCCCCCCTCACTGCCTTTCCTAGATTTCGCTCCTTATTTTCCCTCGCCCGTCCCCCCTTCCCACAGCTTCCCCGTCTTCCCTTCCTTCCCCTACCCCCGGCAGCGCGTTCGTGTACCACGGATTCCTCTCCCATGCGGAGTGTGATCACCTCATCGCACTGGTATGGCCTCCCTGCCTCCCCTTTCGTTTCCTCCTCTTGCTCTCCCTCACACACACTCCTTCTCTGTCTCTCCCATGCGAAGTGTGATCACCTCATCGCACTGGTATGGCCTCCCTGCCTCCCCTTCCGTCCCTCCCTCTTCTCCCTCTCACATCCGCACATCACTAATCTGCCTGTGTGGTACTGATTCACCCATGCACCCATGCACCCATGCACCCATGCACCCATGTTCCCGTGCCATGCTCCCGTTGGACCCATCCTACGCACCCTTGTGCCCATGCACAGCACGCTATCCGCCCATTCCATGCGCCTCCCCCATCACCCCTCTCTCCCCCCACTCCATACAGTTTCTTCTTCCACGCTACCTTCCCCCTCCTCGCCTCTCCCCGTTTGCCCCAGTTTTGAGGCGCCTCAAAAGTCGTTTTGAGGCGCTTCAAAAGTCCCCCCCCCTCCCCTTTTCATACAGTTGTTTCTTCCACGCTGCCTTCCCCTCCTCGCCTCTCCCCGAAACCCCCAGTCCCACCCCAAGCTGCTCAGCCCAGGCACGCAAGCCAATGCCACATATCTTCTGACGCCAAAAGAAATCCTCCCTGCACGCTGCTTCCCTCACCCCACCCTCCCCTCTCCCGCGTCTCGCCCGTTTGCCCACAGTCCCACCCCAAGCTGCTCCGCCCAGGCACGACAGCCAACGGCACCTTCCTCCGGAAATATCAGGTGAGTTGTGCGGTGTGGTGCGGTGCGGTGCGGTGTGGTGTAGTGATTCATTAATCGTTAAAAATATCACCCAAGCTGCTCCGCCCAGGCACGCCAGCCAACGGCACCTTCCTCCGGAAATATCAGGTGAGTTGTGCGGTGTGGTGCGGTGCGGTGCGGTGTGGTGTAGTGATTCATTAATCGTTAAAAATATCACCCAAGCTGCTCCGCCCAGGCACGCCAGCCAACGGCACCTTCCTCCGGAAATATCAGGTGAGTTGTGCGGTGTGGTGCGGTGCGGTGCGGAGTGGTGTAGTGATTCATTAATCGTTAAAAATATCACCCAAGCTGCTCCGCCCAGGCACGTCAGCCAACGGCACCTTCCTCCTGAAATATCAGGTGAGTCGTGCGGTGTGGTGCGGTGCGGTGCGGTGCGGTGTGGTGTAGTGATTCATTAATCGTTAAAAATATCACCCAAGCTGCTCCGCCCAGGCACACAAGCCAACGGCACCTTCTTTCGGAAATTCGAGGTGAGCTGTGCGGTGTGATGCGTTGAGGTGTGGTGTCACGCGGTGTGCGAGGGAAAAGGAGGGAATGTATGGTTGTGGGATACCATGTGGGTGATATATTGCGATGATGTCAATTACAAGAAAGTAGACAGTACATGGCTTTAGGGAGGTGACAAGGAAGGGGCTTCAGGTCGTTGATGAGAAAATTATAAAATCACATGCACCACCTAAGAACTTCTGAGTCAACTCAAAACTCGCCATTTGATGATGATCAATATAGCAGCGCCCAGTGACCCTGTGTGTAACACTGCAATCCCATGTCTATGCCGATCCCCATGCCCATGCCAATCCCCATGCCCAGCCCATGCCATGCCCCATGCCCAATGAGGGGTGTGGTGCTGTAAAAGAGTGTTAGGCCGTGTCAGTGTGTACCGTGGATTTGAGGTTCATGTGGTGTAAGTGAAATTGTTTTAAAATTCCTTCTGATGGCACACACAAAAATTGGGGTGTTCCGAGAATTGAACTCGGGACCTCTCGCACCCTAAGCGAGAATCATGCCACTAGACCAAACACCCACGTCACACTTGTCCCCACACTCACTACCATGCACATCCCCATCTCACCCACATGCCCACCCACCCCCATGCCCACCCAACCCCATGCCCACCCACCCCCATGCACATGACACACTAACCAGGACGAGCGCGTGAGGGCTATTGAAGACCGCATTTCATCGTGGCTCTTCCTCCCGCGCGGTAAGCCAAGAGAAGTGCTCCATTTTTTTGCTGTTCGAGCCTTGCCTTTCTAGCATGCCAGACTTTCACCTATCAAAAGCTCGTTTTCTATGCTCATGTTTCCAATCTTTCTTCTCCCTCCTGGCTCCTTACATCACTTCAGAGCCCACAGAGCCTCAGCTGATGCGGCACAACACGGGCCAGTATCAACTCACTAGCTTAACTTCTTTTTCCCCCACGCCCTCCACCTCAGAGCCCACGGAGCCTCAGTTAATGCGGTACAACACGGGCCAGCAGTTTGACGTTCACTACGACTACTTCCAACACAAGGAGGACCGGCAGGTGCTGCACCGCGCGGCAACCCTCATCCTCTTCCTCTCGGACGTGGAGCGGGGCGGCGAAGTCACTTTCCCCAACGGCAAGGTTGGTCAGAAATACTTGGTCAAACACCAACCATGCCTCCAGCCCTTCCCCTCCCTCCCACCCCCGTTCCTTGCTCCCTTCACCCCCCTAAACCCCCCCCACAACCCCATCCGTTACCTCTTGTTGATCCCAAATCCATTGACACGTTCCGTCTTTTCCGTGCCTTCCTACCATGGCTTCCGTTCGCTCCGTTTCGATCTCCTTCCCCCCCCCCCCCCCTCTCTCTCTCTCTCTCTCTCTCTCTCTCTCTCTCTCTCTCTCTCTCTCTCTCTCTCTCTCTCTCTCTCTCTCTCTCTCTCTCTCTCTCTCTCACTCTCTCTCGTGCGCTGCTCGATTCATTTTTCCACTTCTCCTCCAGTGCAATTCTGGATTCGATACTCCCATTGCCGCCCTCTCCTCCACCTTTTTACGCTTCTACGTCTCACTCCCACTGCACCCCTCTGCACTCCTTTCCACCTTCTCTCCCCCTGTGTGCGCCTCCACCTCTCCCCCTGTACATCGCTGTCAGCCTGAGCGCGAGCAGGACTTTGGGCCCGTCTCGGACTGCGCCAAGGGCCGCATTGCAGGTGAGGAGGGGGGGTAGGCGGGCTTAGGTGAAGAGGTGAGGGGGAGATGGGGTGAGGGGCGCGAGCAGGACTTTGGGCCCGTCTCCGACTGCGCCAAGGGCCGCATTGCAGGTGAGGAGAGGGAGGGAGAGGTGAGGAGATGTGGGGAAGGGTGAGGTGAGGCCAGATGAGGTGGAATGTTCAGCCTGAGCGCGAGCAGGTCTTTGGTCCCGTCTCAGACTGCGCCAAGGGCCGCATTGCAGGTGAGGCGACTTTTGAGGCGCCTTAAAAGTCGTTAGGTGAGGGGGCATGGCATGTAAGGCTGTGTGTCAGGTGGGTTAGGGAATGCAAGCAGGACTTTGGGCCCGTCTCCGACTGCGCCAAATGCCGTTTTAGTCGACTCAAAAGTCTCCGACTGTGCCAAATGCCGTTCGAGTCGACTCAAAAGTCTCCGACTGCACCAAATGCCGTTCGAGTCGACTCAAAAGTCTCCGACTGCGCCAAATGCCGTTTGAGTCGACTCAAAAGTCTCCGACTGCGCCAAATGCCGCATTGCAGGTGGGGGGGGGATGCGGTGTGGTGGGGATGCGATGAGGTGTGGTGGGCATCGCCCCCCTTGCCCATTGCCCCCCTTGCCCATGCCCCCCTTCCCCCTTTTACTGGTTTGTGTTGAAGCACTCTTATTCCATGCTGTACCCGTTGCTCTCTTCCCCAACCTCTCTCCTCCCCAACCTCTCTCTTCTCTCTCTCCCCAATCCTCTCTCTCCTCTCTCTCCCCAAACCTCTTTCTCCCTCAACCTCACTCTCCCCCTCCCCTCCCCCCCAGTAAAACCACGCAAGGGCAATGCGCTGCTCTACTCCCACCTCTCCCCCAACGGCTACAACGACCCCACTGCCTACCGGGAAGACTGCCCTCTCCCTTCTTGTCCCCCAACCTCCTTCCCCCTCGCCCCCTCCCCTTCCCCCCAGTAAAATCACGCAAGGGCAATGCGCTGCTCTACTTCCACCTTTCCCCCAACGGCTACAACGACCCCACTGCCTACCGGGAGGATTGCCCTCTCCTTCCTCCCCCCCACCCGTCACCCACTGTGGGGATGAGCTTGGGGGGGCTCTTTAGGGGGGTGAGTGGCGGCAGTGGGAACGGTGGCAGCGCTGGTGCAGGCAGCAGCACGGACGGCAGCGCTGGCGGTAGCACGGGTGGCGGTGCGGGCGGTAACACGGGCGGCAGGCTGGAAGCAAAGTGGACGGCGGAGAAGTGGGTGCACATGTTCAAGTACATGACGCGGCGGAGTCTTTTGGACTGTACTGACGAGCACCCCAACTGCAGCATGTGGGCGGCGGGCGGGGAGTGTAAGAGGAACCCCGGGTACATGGTGGGAGAGGGTGGGTACGTCGGGAATTGCCGCAAATCTTGCAAAGTTTGTAGTGAATAACTCGAGCTGTTAATGTGGATGAAAAGGGGTGGGAGGAGAGTGGGGAAAGAGTAGAATTGGTGGGGCGAGGTGGGGGTGGGGAGCGAAGGGCAGGTAGGGGGGACAGGGTGTATTTGAACGTGGTAAGTCAGTGATTGCCGAGCACGATGGAGATAATCCGTAGCGACCAGCCATATTAGCTACTTGTTGTTCCTTTATAGATGGTGGATACGTGCGCATAGGACGAGCCAATTTCAAGCACTAGTTCCCATTTCCCAGACCGCACCAAGATGGCTGATCACCACACAGAAAAGATTGAAGCAGATAGGGTTACGATGAGGCGAAACAAGAAGATTATTACAAGAAGAGTATGGCTCATAAGAGATTGAGGAGGCGGATCAACAGATAATCAACTGGGAAAGCTAAATAGCGGGGTACTTTTTAGGGACAACGAAGATACTAATCACCGAGATTCTTTGCACCGCACATGCGCGCGCACGCGTGAAATGATTGTTTCACTACAGTAACTATTTTTCAAGCGGGTACTGTAGGGCTGTTGCATTCGCCAAAACTGGACCAGGTTGTTTGAACACTTCAAACAGACGAGAGTAGTGTTTGTTTGTTTCGTTACACAACACGAGGTGGTTTTTTGTTGTTCATGCATGTGATTCCAAAGAAAAGCACTGGTTGGGGGAATGGTTCAGCTTTGCACTGTATTCACTCCACTGTAGTCCAAATTTTGGCCTTCCGATTTTTCGAGGGTCATTTGAAAGGCCTCTCTATTGGCTAGACTGTTCATAACGACCAGCCAATCAGCCGTCTTGCAGTCTCGCGCAGCTTTAGGAGATATCTCTGGAAGATATTAATCCTCTTGGCTTTTAGCTCATCGCCACCGTCAGATGCGTATTTTGCACGTACAGAAATGCTCTGCACGAGACGTTGCATCAGAAATTCCAGCCAATGACTCACCAAGCAAGCTTTCTGACGCCGGCAAAGCCAGCTTTCCGCCCAGTGCCGTCCGCTGACACCCGCTGCTTCCCTCTTTTCACCATGACCCGGGATGCACTGTGCGCACTTTCCCTTTCCGCCATGCGAGCATGGCCCACTTTTTCCCGATCTGTTCCGACCTCCACCAGCCTCTGTAGGGGGGAAGATTTGCGGGGAAGTTCTCACAGTTACAGCACGGGTTGAAGGGGGAAAAGGGGGTGAAAGAGATACAGTTCAGCTGGTGGGGTACTGTATTGAGGAGAATGGGTTGGTGGTGGTGGGATGGGATGAAATGGGTGGGATCAGCGGAACAGCCGTGTTGGCGCATGCATGGGTGGTTCGGTTCGGAGTCGGACGGAGCATGGAAGAAAGTCCGTCCCCCCAGCTCCACAATACTCATCCCCCTTCCCCCTTCCCCATCTTTCCCCTCGACGCATCGCGCAGTCCATCCCAAATGCGCACTTCCTTTCCAATCTGATGCCCGCGCGGTCAAAACTCCCCCGTCCCCCGTGAAGTCACCAGCCAATCCGGGCGATTCGCGAGCGCGACTTGTTTAAGCACTTTCCGCCCCTTCCGCACTTCCCCCCCCCTCCGCTCAGCAGTCCTTTCCATCCCCCCTTTCTCTCGATCTTCACCAGCCGAGTTCTTAGGGCGCATTTCAGGCCTCGTAACAAGTGACTTCCGAACAAGTTGGTCGTCGCACAGGGCCCAAGTTGTTACGAGGCTGAAAGTTTACCTCAGAACAAACAGGTTTCAGCACGATCAAGAAATTCGCACATGTACAGAGTTGGGTCGCAGTCAGTAATATGGCTCGTCGATTCACTGTCTGCGAAGGCCTACCAGGTCCATAAGCTGACGGCTTCACGAGCCATCTTTTTGTTGGTGCTGCCCAAAAATATTATAGGGGAAAGTTCCAACATAGAATTGGAAACAGCATGACAAACAGGCCAGCCTCTTGGCTTCGAAAGTCCCTTGAACATCAAACAGCCCGTCAAAATTATTTCACTAGCTAGAGGGTGACGAAACCAGGTCGCCTGCTGTCAGGTAGACAGTGCGCGACCGGAGAATCATGATCGCCAGCGTTCGTAATTCGGCCAGCTTTTAGCAAGAAGCTGTTACGAAGTTTTGGTCGCCACAAATCGTCAAAAGTAGCAGAAAATCGCAAAGACGTCGCTTGTTACGAAGTGGCTTGTTCGCAACAGCCTGAATTGCGCCCTTACAAATTCACCCCCCCTTTACAAATTCGCCCAAGGACCAGCATAGCGCGCCGACTGCCTTGACAGAGCCTCCCCCGAGTGCCCCATTTTCCGCGGAGCAGACGAATTTACACCTTCCCCTGAGCTGAGGCAGGTCCCCTCCTCTCCTTTCGCGGCGGAACACCCAGCCACGACACGACTTACGAAACCCAGCTGACGCTGGGACCAGTCCCTCTCCTCGTGACACTGCCTGCCAACCACCGTCTTTCATGACACGTCCAGACCAGAAGTCTTGATAAAGCCTCGCAGGTGTATTATCGAGCTCACTCTTGCGAAGCTCTTCAGTTGATCATCATCCCGCCAGAATATCAAGACAGAGCATCGAAGCCACCCAGCACCCAAAATCGCTCAGTTTATCTCCTTCCGAACCTGCAAGATAGCGCCTGAAAGCCATCCAAGAGCTTCACGAGACGCGGGTTCATTCGCGCTCGACGAAAGCGTAGAAAAAAATCCTTCGGCGATTTTCGCTGACGTTGTTACGGTATGGATGCGATTTCCAGCGAAGCGTGCTCGATGAAGTCGAGGGTCAAAACGCGGCCCGCCAGACACTACATCGCGCGATGGACGCCCGAGGTAAGCTCCTCGTGAGATTCTTGCATCAAGTTGCTGCTACAGCACCCCACATTGCGCTTGCCCAGCCGTGAATTCAAATTCGCATAGCGCTACACCCCATCCCACATTGCTTCTCATCTTGTCTTACCTTATCTGTTATATCTCGTCTTATCCCGTCGCGGTGCGCAGGAGGACGCGATTCTATTGGAGCACGTGATGCTGCACGGGACGAGCCAATGGGGGCTGCTGCAGCGCAGCAACCGCCTGCCGCTGCGCGACAACAAGGCGTGCTGCAACCGCTTCATCCTCCTCAAAAAGTGCGTCGCGAACCGCTCTGATCCTTTTGCAACTCCAAATTCCAGAAATGAAAATAATTGCATCGAAACTTGCTCATTCACTCGCAACGGTTGCGATTTTCTCCTCTCATCGACTCTTCCCCCCCCGCCGCCTGTTCCGCTCCTTGTTTGCAGGAAGTTCATCGAGCAAGACGGCTCATCCGCTGTGGCTCACGGCGCGTTCCCCGCGATGGGTCCCGATCCCGTCAGGTCGTCGGCTCCCGGCGGCGGCGCGCTCCCGTTGCCGCCGCTGACGCTGCCGCCGGTCGGCGAGCCGCACCACTGGAGCGTCACGGCGGCGGTTTCCGCGCTGCATTCCGCTGCCAATTATCATTCGCTTCGAAGCGGTAACCAGCAATCGCTACAGTCGCTTCGGAGCGGTAATGAGCACTCGCTTGGCAGTGGTAACCATCCTTCGCATGGCAGTTACCAGCACTCCCACCAGCATCACCTCTCGGCTGGTGGGTTACTGGCGTCTTCAACCACCTCGCCGCACTCAACCTCCCTCAACTCTCTCAACTCCACGGAGGCTTACTCTTTCACCGCAGCGCCGCTTCGGTTCTCCTCGCCGTATCAGCATCATCAGCATCCCAAGACCGTCTCTGGCGGCGGGTCCATCCCGGGGAAGACCGGCCCCGTGCCCGTGCCCGTCCCCGCGCCCGCGGACGCGTCTGCCCAGTCGCCGCATCACTCGCTGCTTGTCGACGCGATGCCGCCCCGGAATTCGTCGCCGCATCTCGTCGTCGACCTGACCGGCGATTGGGGTTTTACCGCCGCCGACGCCGCCGCCTCTTCTGCCGCCGCTGCTTCCGCCACCGCCGCTTTCGCCGCCGCCGCCTGCTCGGACAATTCGACCAGTCTCTCCGCAAACCCGACGCAAGCGGCGCTCACGCCCCATCACGCCGCATTCGCCACTTCCGCCGCGTTCCCGAGCGCGCAGCAGACAGCACGTTCCTCCACCGCGCTGTCTCCCTGCGCAGCTCCGCGGACCCCGCGGGGTCCGCAGGCATTGGCGGTGGCTGCTCCGCCAGGCGCGGGTACTCCCCATGATTCTCCCCCCCGCGTTGCTCCACTCGCTGCATCTTCCCCCGGTGCTGCTCCGTTTGCTGCTTCTCCCCGCACTGCTGCTCCCCCTGATACTCCGACTCCCCGCGGGGTCCAGCTGCGTCCTAGCGCCTCCACGGCTCCGCCTCCTCCTCCGCCTCTTGCTGCTTCCCCGGCTGCTGCTGCAGCAGAGGCCAACCGAGTCGATCTTGCAACCGCAGGCGCCTACGCCGCTGCATCTGCCGCCGCCGCCTCCGTCGCGTCTGCCGCCGCTGCTTATGTTTCTGGTGGGGGCGTGGGGGGCGTGGATGAGCGTGCGCGGAAGAGAGCGAGGATGATGGGACCTCGCAGGGAGGAAATGTGGGAGGAGACAACTACTAGACTTTACAGCGACGGCACCGAGATGTCGGATGAGTCCCCCCCACTTCCGCTGCACCAGCAGCATCAGCAACAGCAACGGAATGCCATGAACCATGCAGGCAATACTGTTCCCTCTTCGCCCGCATTGCCTGCTTCGTCTGAGGTGAACCCCTCAGCTGCCACCCCTGCTCATCCTGCTGTCCAGGTTGCCGATGCGTCGGGTGTTTTCACCAATGCGGGGTGCGGTCTCTCTGTTGGTGGTGCTGCTTTTGCCGGTCGAAACTGCGCTGGCCAGCTCGCTGAGAAGGCAGGTGTAGCTGATGAGTGTCGCGAAACACACTCGTCGATTGCGGACACAAAAACTGCTGCTGACGCTGTCCGCTGCTGCTGCTGCTGCTGGTGGCGGGCTATACGCTGGGGGTTCGGTGCTTGTGCCGGATTCAGAGCTTTTGGCGTGTCTGAACAGCCTCACATCGTGCCTGTCGTG